AAAAAAACGGCTGAATTTTCTTAAAATTGTTCAGACACCCTTGGATTTCGCTACTAAAGGGAGTAGCAGTCTATGAGGCAAGTCACCTGGTGCTCAGGTGTTTCAACGAATTCTTTACATGACACTGTCACTCAGAGTAAGCCTACCCTATGCACAATACCTGTACACATATGCACTTTCACATATACATTTACATACACATACGTAACTACACACAAACGCACACAAGCAACTACTCAAACACATATGCAGACAAAGAACACAAACTAAGTCATGTGTACATATATCTTTGTAAATAAATATACATATGTATATATTTATAAACAAATAAATATAAATACAGTATTACAAGCGCACTATACTCAACGGCGTGATCCGAAAGCTGCCACTTGCCTCTCCTTTATCATGATCAGGAAGTATTGCGTTCCATGTAGGTTAAAGACTTCCGTGCATGCGAGTAAAAGCAAACACAACCTCAGGCAAGGGATGAATGTCAATAATAAATCTGATTTCAGAAATTGTTGTCGACTTATACCAGTAGCTTATTCATTTCACATATGGGGAGTTTCTCTCAACCGTGATACGATCTCAGCCTTTCTGCTAGATATGTTGGAAGGGATGGGAGGATACGATTTACCTTCTTCACTGTGTATCACAAAACTTGAGCGCAGTGGCTTTCTTGCACATCAGTAAATGATGCAGGAGGCGTGTTTGTCTCACGTGCACAAGCATGAGCTTCTGAAGCGCAGGCAGGGAAGCAGGAATGCAAGGTCAAGATGATTGCGGATAAAGAGTTCTACGTCTTAAACATTCGTAGTAACACCTAGCGTCACTCGCTTCCGTGTTCAGTTCTGATACTACTTCCTTTGAATATCTGGCCCGTTTCGCATTAGTATTGCTTTCATTGAGTCATATCCGGAGTGAATTCCTTCCATGCGTTGTGGAACTCAGCCAGTAATAACGAAGCTTGCTCATTTGGTGAAGTTATGAGCTCCGTTCGCGACAAGCGATCTTCAAAACTTCACCTATTGAACAAGCTTCGTTCTTCAGATACGACTCAAGGAAAGTGATGCTAATGCGAAGCGAGACATTCCACATATTTTCAGAGCTCAACACGGAAGTGAACGACTTAGGGCTTACCATGAACATTTTATACACAGCAATTTCTTTCTTCTCAATCATCTTGGTCTTGCAATCCTGCAATGTGCTATTCCTGCTTACCTGTCTGTGCTTCAAAAGCTCATGCTTTGGCACGCGAGATGAGCGTCGTCCTGCATCATCCACTGTTGAACGAAAAGGCCATTGTGCACAATGTTTTGTGACACACGCAAGTGAAGGTGAATCAAATCCACCCTCCAACATAAGTGACACAAAGGTTGGGTTCCTATCACTGTTGTGAGGGGTTCACTATATGTGAAATGAATGCTCGTATAAGTCGACAACAACTTCTGGAATCAAGTTTGACTTATTCTTGACATTCATCATTTGCATGAGGTGGTGGTGCTTTTACTCGCATGCACGAGAGTCACTGACCTATTTGGAACGCAATGCCTTCTGATCATGGTAAAGAGGAGGTAAGTGACAGCTATGGATCATGCTGTTGAATATAATGTGCTTATTATGTCCATGTGTTTATATATACATACATATATATGTGAGTATATATGTCTATATATACAATATATATTTGTTTGAATGTTTGCTTGTGTGTTTGTGTGATGATAGGCATCACTGTATGTGCTTGTGTATATATATGTTCGTGATTATGTGCTCATAGCTTCATTGGTTGGTATAGTGTTCATAGGTTTAGGTGTATCTGTGTGCTTGTGTTTATTTGTATGTTTGTCTATATGGGTGCATCTATTTAGTACATGTGTGTGTTGCCGGAGTCTATAGGTTCTCTATTTATTTTTTTTNTTTTTTTTACTACGTCCGTTCTAATTCCCAAGAGTGATAAAGGACGTAAAACTTCAACGCAATGGCATCAACCTGTGTTGTTCACATGTCCTCAAACAATATGGATTTGAAGCGACTACATTTCGACAAAAAAGCCAGTTTTGGCTGTAGAACACTTAAAATTACTGGAAAGGGGAGAGGAGGAGGTATCGATTTGTAGTTCAACTTATCCAGTATTATTATAAAAGCTCCTCATACCACAATGTTAAAGCTTCGAATGGAGAAAGCAAGGAGTAGGATTTTAGCAATGACGTAGTCATTTCTTTCTCCTAAGCCTCGTTTTTTGATGGTATCTCCACGAGTACCGTCAAAAAACGCGTATTATATCAGATCTTTATATAAAGTTCCGTCACTGAAGATATTGGAAGCTAAAGTTAGTACATACAAGCCTAGATTGAGTGGAATTAGGGGAGCATTTCCACTCTCTAAGAAAGGTTGGGCGACTGGTTTACTGAAACTACGTCGCTTTCAGGAGCTCACTCACTCAAGGCTCAAGATGTCGGAGTTGGAGTTGTATGGCTCGTACTTCACCGAATACATGAACGGCGCAGAGGCGAGATGTCCAGAGACTTTCGTTCCTTATAGTGAACTTATACAACAGTATGTGCAGGTATGAGCGCATCACTATGTGCTTTCTTTGGAAAGAGGAATTGTCTTACATACTTTGTTCAAGTCTACTCGTTCTGTTATTCCTTTCATCAAAATCGCTTTCCCTGAGCTTCAAAATCCGGATATTGATCACGAACGGCAACCGTTATGTGACAATCGATCAAGCATGAGGTACGTCTTTTATTTAGAGTTACATTTATTACATGTCCTAAATAACAAGTGAAAAAAATGAAAAACAAACAAACGCATCCAAAGATGTACCTAAAACGTGTACGTGATTACTTAAGAGCATATGGTGAATACGTTAAGGAAAAGTTTTTGAGAACTCTTTCGAGCTGCAAGTAGCGCTACAAGCTTGAGTCGTTTTCGTTATCGAGAAAGGATGCTCATCGGTCAAAAAAAATTGCTTAGTCAAAAGGAAAGGCGACAAATCTCTAATCGCATCTTTATACAGGCTCGCTCACCGTTGGTCATAATAACCTTTTATTGATCAAGGATCACTTCAGTTCGCTTTGATACTCTCATACTGTTCAAACATTTTCAGGGACGTGGTCGTGCATGAAATAGCCAGGGCTCGTGCCAGCGCTCAGTTCCCTCCCAGAGTAGTGTACGATTTGGACTTATTGGCGATGGAAATTAATGAAAAAACAAGCAAACAACCCTCCCAACATCTCTCCTGTACTGATCGAACAAGGTGAGATCCCCATTTTGCAATAAGTTTCAGCCTCAAGACCCTTGCAGAAAGAACGGCAGTCAAGCTCAAAAGTACCTACAATTAGTCAAGGAGCTCGCGATACTTCCCCTAGTTATTTATCTTCACAATACGTGCCTTTCTAGAGTTGGCCACATTGACCCGAATGTCGATCATCTACTTTTCGAGAGTCGCTTCGAGTGCGGGAATCTTCGCAAAGCGACGCAGGTATATTTGAATAAATTTGTAGCGCTTTTTGTTCTCAGGCGTAGAGTGGCATGCTGGAAGGTCATCAGCAGGATCTAACTTTGAAATCGTTAAAATCAGTTTTTTAGTTGAATTAATTTGACCACTTTGTCGACTCACCACCTTTCCTTGATGAAACCTCCCCTTTTGCTTGTTGCTTCAAGCTTTTCGAATGTATTTTTTTGACAACGAACGGCAGCCCGGAGGGAGAAGGGATGAAATGGTGAGCCCTTATTCCTATCGGGCAAGCAGCTACAACTGTTTGTCTCCACCTGACATTTTTTCGGAATTATACCTTTGGCCCAAGTTCGCTTGCATAAGTGCCCATGAGTTTACGACCTTTTCCAATGTAGATGGTTACTTCAGCCTAAACAGCTTTCTGGGTGGTCACCTAGTGTAGTATAGTCCGGCACCTACCATTAGTGTTACCATCTTGCCTCCTGCACTCCCTCCAAGTTTTAGCGCTCCAGGCCCAATTTGACATCTTTTGCGCAAGTCCCGCCCCCCTCCCCCCTGTGGGCGGAGCCAAGTCCTGACACTTATCGGCAGTGTTTCCATCTTGCCTCCTGTACTCCTACCGAATTTGAACTGCTGGGTACACCGGAGTTATAGATTTCCAGTCAAACGCACACCACACACGCAGATAGTCAAACCACAAGACATACTTTTTGTGTTGTGTATAGTAGGATGGTTGGCATTGCTCTTTCACGAAGCCAAAGAGTTACTTACGATTTTCGAATAACTAAAGCGCGATGAAGTCGATCATCGAGACGAAGTTACGTCATGCTGTTTTCTCTTTTGCATAGTTCATTGATGAAATAAGTTCACAGTTCCAGCTCTTATTTCTTGAAATATTTAACCGCTACAAAAAAATGCCGAATAGTGCTTTATCACTCTTTCTCGGTCACTTCTTAATTGTTTTTCCTGGGCGGTTTAGTTCAGTAGACGCCTTTTCAACGTTTGCGTTGGTTTTCTACTCCGTAGGTTGATCCCGTGCCGTCGTAGGGCCCGCGTCCACTTCTTCTTAGGTACGGCGTCGTCTGCCTTAATTTAGCTTCAAAACTCCTTGGAGGCTCCTCCTGGTCGCTTACCTTACCTTAGCCTCCAACTCCATTGCCTCTTCACCGAATGACACTGTGCTCTTCACAAAACCATTACAGACGCTACTCACTCATCTCGCAGTGAACGGAGGCTTTCGCAAGCCGACTTGACGTCCATGTTTCTGATCCGGTCCAGTCGGGCCAACAACAGGCTAACCTGAGCACACTCTTTCAACGGAGTAGAGCTGTCTTTCATGGTTGTTACCCCCTATTTCATCCATGCAGCCTTTACAAGGGCTTTTACAACATGGTCCACCCTAATATGAGCAGCTGGATCGCACTCCAGGTATACGAAGTCCTGTATCCTTCGATGGATTCCCAGAGTCCGTCTATGATTGACCTCATACTCACGCCGAAGCTGAGGAACTTATTGTTAGTATTCTTCACGCTCACCCGGAGCCCATCAGCCACGCGATCTGCCATTTCTGCAGCTTGTCCTAAAGTTCTTTGCTTTCTGCTATCAGAGCGATGCCATTCACGTGGAGGATTGTCATCACGGCCCATCAATGAGTTCCTTCGTGATGGCGTCATTATAAGCAGAAAATGAACGGGTTAAGTGCTATTGGCAAGGTTCAGACACCTCCACCAAAAAGCGGAAGGAAGTTACACATAGAGGGTGCAAACTCATATGCCGTGTTGTGATTCATTGGTTTTTACCATTTGTGCCATCGCTTCATAAATGCAGCAAGGCCGATATGTTGATGTCCGTAAACCTTTCCATTGGACTTCATTTACATATTACCGTTTTTTGCAAAGGAGACTGCTGGATTCCAACACTTCATTCATGCCGCAGTTGCTCGAGCTTTCACGAGCTGATTTATGCTACTGTTAGCGAGCACGTCACTTATAAGGTATCGGAAAGCTTGCACACCTCCAGCGACTTTCTTGCAGCAGTCCCCCATTGTTCCTGTTTCTCCTAGCTGAGGAACTTGGTCTTCTTAACGTTCTGCTGTCGTCCATTCTCTGGCAGCACGCCTTGACTCTTCTTCAGCTTATTCTGGAGTTCTTCATTGCTCTTCGCTATAAGGCTTCCGCGTCGCGGATGGTTCTCAGTAAATCCTTCACGAGTCCTTCTGTGACAACTCCAGTATAAGTAGGAAGTGCACAGCGCTTTCTCTCTCGATTACCCCGACCGAGACGTCTACTGCTCTCATGAAGCTGCGAAGTGTGCATATGATTGTCTTGGACCCGCCGTACACGACGTCTTTGTCTAAATTAAATATTCTGTCCTAGGAGCGTCCCCCCCCCCCCCCCCACTGACCGAGTTCCGAGTTAGGTGGTCGAACGCGCTATCCAGTCGAACAAGCCAAGGAAGCGGGGTTTACGCTTTTCTACTCCTCATCTCATACATAGTTATGAATATTGCGTCTGTTGCAGTATTTCTGGCATGTAAACTAACTGCTCGTGGGAGATAGGGACGTTCCCTTGAAATTGAGTCGACTGAAAGATTGTAGCTCCATGGTAATCGCAGTCAATCTAGTTTCGCGATCCACTACATTCCTTCTTCGCTCAAGAAGGGAACGATAATGCTACTTTCCATCTAAGACTCTTGCTTTAGCAGTTGCAGTGTTCATGAACCTAGTAAGCCATCGGATCCCGAGCTCTTACGAGCGCCTTCCATGCCCCTATTGGCATCCAGTCAAGGTCTTTCCCTCTTCCATCCTTCATCTTCCCTACTGTTCGATGCACATCACTCTCTGCGATGAGAGGCGCTGTTGCTACTATTTATGAGCTCTCTTTGCGGGGGAATTCTCCGTTTGAGAGCCTGTGGAAAAAATCCTCTTGCGCCCATTCTCAGTTGGCTTCTTCAGAACACGCCGCTGTTCCTTGCAACCTTCTATACTTTGCCAACTGAAAGGGAAAATTCTTCTTTCAACTGTCGAGCTTCTCGTGCAAGGCATCCATTTCCGCATTCTTTGTTTTGTCTATGGCAGCTTTGGTGAGCCTCTTGCAGATTCTGTAATAGGTCGTAGGCGGAGGCCAGGTTAAGGTTTCCTTTCCTTTCCTGACCATATTCCTACATCTCCATGAACTCCTTTGGGACCTCTTTGTTCACTACCAACGTGCCCATTCAAATCACCTAGTATAGTAAGGTAGTTTTTCCAGAACTGATATAATAGCCTCATCAAGATCAAGGTGGAACTTTCCTTGTCGTGCTCGTGGCTTTGCCTCAGTATCTTTCTTCGTGTCTATCCTCTCAACTATGATACGACCATTGAGCCTTTTGACGGAGGAGACAGAGGGCTTGAGGGACTCTGCAACTGCTGCGGCCACACAACTTTGGTGTCTTCTTCGTTGTAGTAAAACCTAACATCTTTCCGATCTCTTTGGCCTTTGCTCCTTCCCACGTCTCTTGAAGGCACAGCATTCTTTTCTTCTGTTATCAAATCAGCAACTTCTTAGGTTTCTAGGTAAGCGATCTGACGTTTAAAGACTCAATTCAAAGTAAGTTTTGGTCGAAATCGTTCACTCTTAGGTATCCATGGCATACTATCTTTAAAACTGTCACGAATAGTTAACGACGATATAAAGAAAATAGCAGTGTTTTTAGGGCCCTTAACCTTGCCCATGTTTCTGAAATATTACGATAATCACTTTTAAGGTAGGTCCGAATCACTACGAACTGATTCTATCTCCTGATATTAACCAGCGGAAGGAGCATTACCAGTGGTTTTATTTCGAAGTAAGGCTGTTTCTGTTTTCTTTGATTAATGAGTTTTCTAGTTATTATCTTTCCGTTTTTCAAAGTTTTCCGTGTTAAGGTTTCCAACATTTTGAATGATGTTACATACAGCTTTGAAATTATAAATTGTCTGAAGGCGACTTCGATGTACAGTAAAGGTAATTTTCTTCTTTCCATAGTACAAAATTCAGTTTTAAGAGGTTTCAAATTATTCTGTAACACTTCGATTAAGTCACAAGAACGATAGGCCAGAAAGTTTTTCGTACTTCCTCATCATTACGAATTTTGAAAGCGTTATCCCGGCAAATAAAGAAGAATTGTAACCTTTTTGTCTAGAGGTAGCTGTTTTCAAGTATAAGTATAAGAGTTCTCCACGCCATTTAAAGTTCAGGGTTGTGATGACGGGATTGGCCTGAAACGGGTATTTGGACGAGATTTGGGTCTTCTTCAGTTGCTCGAAGAGCAGAGTACAGTAAACCAAGAATGCGAAAAATTACTCTCCGTTGTGGCCATAGCTCGAACCTGCATGAATCTAAATTATATGTTGCTGCGATTTTTGTTTTTCTTTTTTCTGCTATCAGTTGTAAATCTTCTTTGATACCGACGCGCCTCAGGTATACCATAGACTAAATCATTGGATCGGGCGCCACAGATCCTTCGTCAGAAAGGAGCCCAGTTCGGCCTTCAGGAAGTGAATGGTGGATCTCCCTGCATGAGCCGGAGCCCTGTCCTGCTGAAAGACGTAGTTGGGATGATTTTGATTCTAGAATAGCACAGCTTCTTGAAAGATTTCTTTTCGGTAGAACTTCGCGTTAATTTCATTATCTACTAAAGCCACGAAGTCTTGTGTGGTGCACTGATACCACCCGAAACCATTAAACCTTTGGGCAGCGATTTTCTTGTGGCAAACTTTCTCTTCCGAGTGTTCTTAAGAGCTGGACTAAGCAGTTGGCGGTGATTCTGCTGGTTTTTAGTCACTTCCACGGTGAACACTTTTTCATCAGACCGAAGAACATCCTCAATTCGGCGCTCCTTGAAAATTCCCGCAGATTCATTTCTCTTTCGACTTTGCTTTGCTTTTGCGATAAAAACTTGCCCATTCAATTAGCGATAACTTCGGAGACCAAGCTCAGTTTTCACTATCATTTGAACATATTTTCTGGAGATCTCGAGCTGTTCCACCATTTTATTGATGCTCCGACCATATTTACGGTCAGTGCTCTTCTTTATAATACTACGCATCCTCCTTGTGTTCACATTCCGCTTCCTTTCTCTTCCCGGCTTGGTCTGGACGTGCCCTTCTTCCTTCTAGTGCTTAACAATCTTTTGAACAGTTCTCAGAAGAATTCTGAGCTCCGACGAAATTGCAGGGGTCTTCATCCCGCCGCTGGCTGACCTCCCCGTGACTCGTGCAGGCCTGAACCATAGTCTTGGAAACATTTTTCTCTTCACAGGCTGATTATCGAAGATGTAAAGAAAACAAATGTAAATGCGTAAAAGCTATCATTGATGATCAAAGCAGTCACGTGATTCTTTATTCTTTATTCTTTCTTTGTTATTTAAGACAACGCGTCATGATCGAGTCAAAAGTCGTAATTTTTCGCCATCCTGTATAAGGCAGTTGAAACACGGCCACTCATAGGCGTGACATACAATGGGAGCAAATTTTAAGGCAGTGTCCTTATTTGCCTTTTTCTATCCAACAATGGTCCATGTGCTGTTCGTGAGCTACAGGGATCCGTCTCAGTAAGAAATCTCAATAAGTCCTCAGTTCGCAGCAATCTATGTAACTGCGACTGCGTTTTCCTATTCCGAGCAATTTGGTTGGGTATATAGTAAGTGCCATTTTGAATGGCCACTCAGTTATTATTATCTTGAGAATTCGCCCTTAAGGCATGCAGCCTGTAATGTATTCTGTACGAGATGCACTCAATGGTCGAGGTGCATGGGTTCGTGCTGGTGATTCCGTATGTTATTATCGAAACTTGTATGCACTCGACGAAGATGGCGAGATGGAGGAAAGCAAGTCCAAAAAACGGTCAGTTTTTTTTTTCGTGTGAGAGAACAGATGTGCTTGGTAGTGCTCCTGTCATTAACCCACCTGACCAGTTATCTTCAAACAGGCATATTCAAATAGCGTTTTTTTTTTTTTGGCAAAAGGGTGGGGGAGGGACCCGCAAATCGTTTACTAATTTCGCGCTTT